GAGTCCGTCGGTTGATGAACGCCAAGTCGGTCGGTTAGTCAACGCCGAGTCTGTTGGTTAGCGAACGGCGAGTCCGTCGGTCAGCGAACGCCGAGTCCGTCTGCTAGTGCGCGCCTGGTGCGTCGGCTAGTGGGCGTCGATCCTGTTGGTTAGTGGGTGTCGTTTCCGTCGGTTAGTTAACATCGAGTTCCGCAACACGTGCGAGGGCACCTGTTTGAGAACAGTGCCGCTAAGGCGGTGCGTTGGTGACAGGGTCCGTTAATGGATGCCGAGATCAGGAGCGCAAACGACGCCGAGATTAAGACCGATCAGGCCCAGGGGTGACATATTCCAGGGCCAGTAAGAGCGGCGCGCTGCTCCACACTACTGGCCCAGCGCACCGCGGCCCTGCCACGGCTCCACTTCTCTTTGCTTCCTCAATTCCATCCTTTCCTTCTTCACCTGCCCACATTTACCCCTAATTCATCTACATTGTTAAGTTATGGCATACTCAGTTTAGCCAGGCGTAAAAATAACAAACAAAAAACAAACAACAGACGCATCGCGAATTAACACTGTCATGTCTCTACACACATGAAAACCAGCAGTGCCATTTCTGCTTTCAAAATACCAGTTACGTATGCGGTGGCGTCCAAAACCAACAAAACAGCAAATCCAGCGTCGCAGCGTCGCCGCGCTCCGCGCCGCCAGCTCCAGCTCACTTGTAGGTGCGGTCCTCTGGAGCGAGCTCGTGGGTGATGTTGATGTTGGTGCTGTCGGCCGGGTGGTAGGTAACCTTGTAGGCCAGCAGCACTCCGTTGGGCTCGGCCGGCAGGTCCCAGATGACGCGGGCAAACGTGTAACTGACGTCCGGGAAGCTCACGTTGGACGGCACGCCGGGAACTGAGGAGGTCAGAGGTCAGAGGCTCGGCGGAGGCCAAAGGCAATGGTCAGGGACCCGGCTGAGGCCAGGCAAAGGCCAAAGTCCTAAGGCAAGCGGATATCAGAGATCGCAAACCAAGCGGCGGGTCAGTGGGGATAGGTCAGGCGCATCAGCAAACATAAGCCAGGCAGAGGTCGGAGGGCAGACGGGGTCAGTGTGTCAGAGGTCGCCACTCGATTCGCAGAGGGCACAGCAGGTGTGAGACATCCGGCAATTGTAACGCCGGTGGCCGTAATTGTCACAAGAAACCAGGGTGTCATATGAGGTACTCGTACTCCCCTCCACACAATCTACCGCGCCCACCGCGATCCACCTCTGCCCACCACAGTCCACCTCTCCAACTCCTCCCCGCAATTTACCTCTCCCAACCACAATCTACCTCCCCGAGCACAATCTACCTCCCCTAGCGCAATCCACCTCTCCCCACCGCGGTCTACCGCTCACCGTCGTCGAAGGTGCGCACGGTGACGGGCGGTACGCTGAGAGCACCGTCGCCCAGGCGGGTGCGACCCAGCACCTGCACGCTGTACTTGGTGAACTTCCTCAGCTCCGTCAGGGTCGTAGTGTGGGTCTGGTTTCCCTCAATCATCTTATACTGAAACAGAGTGGCTCCATAAACGTTGCGAATACTGAACTAAGGCAAAGCAATTCCGGCCAGGGGCAAGTCGGCAGCACGAGTCGCTTTGCTATTTTCAGCCTTCCGGTTTTCCTTCCGGCTTTTACACAAGCCTCTTATTACTTCCGTTGGGAGGCGGTAGGGGGGGGGGGGGGGGGAGACAGAATGCCGGAGAATCTCAAGCAGAGCACCACGTGAGGTAGTTAAGTCTTTTGTGGAATCGCTGCTCTGTTCGTCACGAAAACGTTCATTTGTATGTTGGGCGATGCGCTTCATGAAAAAATACCAACTGATCCAATTACGGTGGCGAGTTCTCAGATGTTTCCACATGCACTCATTTCGGGAGGAAATTAGCATAATACGTATACAAAAAAGGCTTTCTGGAATAAAATAAACTCAATACAAGGGTGCTGTCATATCGCATGATGATGGTGAAACGCATGATGAAAACTCGGAGCTTACCACAATCATGACGGTCTTGAGACTGACCTTGACCGAGCCCCGAGACTGACCTTGAACTCAGTGTCCTTGAAGCCATAATACACCTTGTAGCCCTCGATGATGCCGTTGCGCTGCAGCGGCAGGATGTCCCCCCAGCTCACGACAACGGTGGTGGAGGAGGTAACGTTCGCCTGGACGTCTTCTGGCCCTGCCCCCGGCACTGTCGACGGCACGCGGGGTCAGGGTCAAACAGTGTGGAATTTACACGGTGCAGACGTTTTGTGGTGAGCAGGTCATACGGTGCCGTCATTGCGCGATGCGGAGATCGTGTAGTATGGCAACTGAAAAAAAACATTGAAGTTGGGAGTTCTCATTCAGACAATGATCTTGATTTTGCTCAGAGAATGCCCATTTATGAGTCTTCCTATCAAATGTAATTATCAGACGGGTCATGGCCCCCCCCCCCCCCCACCCAGATACTAATCTTACCCACTCCAGTGCTGACTTGTCTCCACCTATCTCCAAGACGTGGTCATACTTATGAACGGTATACAGTTCACAACGGTGTCAATTTTGTACAGTGCGAAGCACGCAGTTACGCCGTGGCAGTATAACCTGCTGAGGTCAGAAAAAGGTTGAGTCCAAGGGTGCAGCGATCATAGTGAGACGATGCAATCATTTTGTAGAAAACATGCAAGTACAGGTCGCATAGCGTAAACATGCGGTGCATAACATCGCACACTGTGCAGGTCATACAGAGCAAGGTTATACAACGGGTGACGTACCTTGTAATTCGTCACACTGCAAGGGTCATACAACCATGCGGGCACACAGGTCTCAGCGCATCGAGGTTCAAATGGTGAGGAGATTACAACGGGGCGAAATCGCACAGTGAAGTAGGTCACACAATACGAGCATACAATGTCAGCGCCACTATATGGAAATAGTGGGAGGTCAAACAGTGCGGAGGGTCAACGCACTTAGGAAGCGCGCCGCCGCGAGGGATTACGGCGCCGACGCCAGTCACCACCCCCGATCCTCGCGCCGACTCGGACGACTCCGAGTCATCGCGCCGACCACCTGACCTCGCGAGTGCGCTCTACGACCGGCGCGCTCGGCTCTTCGCTGCTGCCCCCACGTCGTTTTAAGCTCTGAACGATGACCTCGTAGCGCACGTACTCCTCCAGCTGTCGAGCGCGAACGAGTTGGCGTTTGCGGTCTGCCGACACCGGGTGCGAGGATCAGCAACCCCCGCCAACGGCAGCACCCGCTCGGGGTACGGCAGCCGGCTGGTGTCGGGGTAACGGCAGTCAGCTGGTGTCGGGGTACGGCAGTTGGCTGGTGTACGAGGTGCGGTCAGTCGGCTGGTGTCGGGGTGCGGCAGTCGCCTGGTGTCGGGTGTGACATCAGTCGGCTGGTGTCGGGGGTGCGGCAGTCGGCTGGTGTCGGGGGGCGGCAGTCGGCTGGTGTCGGGGTGGTGCAGTCGGCTGGTGTCGGGGTACGGCAGTTGGCTGGTGTCGGGGTACGGCAGTTGGCTGGTGTCGGGGTGTGGCGCCGGGCTTCGACCGCCGGCCTGGCCGCAGGAGACGGGGGGAAGCGGGGATAGTGGGGAGGCGCCGGCTGGGAGGGGACGGCAAGGAAGCAGTCAGGTAGGACGGGACGATGGGGAAACGACCGAGTGGAAGAGGACGGTGGGGAAGCGGTCGGGTGGGAAGATGACAGCAGGGAAGGGGTCGGGTGAGAGAGAACGGAAGGAAGTGGCCGGGTGGGAGAGAACGGAAGGCAAGCGGCCGGGTGGGAGAGAACGGAAGGGAAGCGGCCGGGTGGAAGGAGACGGCAAAGATGCAGCCGAGTGAGATGGGATGATCGAGAAGCGGCTAGGTGTGTGGTGTGTGTGGGGGGGGGGGGGGGGATATTGAGGAGGCGGCCGGGTGGGAGGGGCGGTGAGGAAGCGGTCGGGTGGGAGAGGTAACTCTGGTAGGGAAGCGTGCTAGCTTACCGACGGTATTGAAACACGCAAGGGCAAACAGAGGTTGCCAACGAACACAGTAAAGTGATCACGCATGGTCTTAAAGAGATGTGTTAATCCACCGAACCAACTAACCGGATGCTTCTGTCATTAACTAGTCCAATAATTGCTAGATAGTGAAAAATTGAGAAAACTTTAGTGATATGGTGGTGATGCGATCATCAAATGTGCTGAATCGTCAGGGCTTATGCTCATTAGTCACACGAAATCACATCTACTAGGCCGCACCAACATGTTATAGCAAACTGCAAGGGAAGATCTAGCTCTGGATTGACTAGGGTGTCTGGGACTAGCCAGTCGACGCAAAATAGTATTGTCACCAGATGTTGAGCTCGCAATGCTCTTTATGGGCCGAATGATCTCCAGCGTTCACTGTCCACGTTCACTGCACCCAAGCCAGAAGTAAAGGATTTCCTCCACGATGTAGCATATGCTTCCACGCAGTACTAGCATGCTGTTCTTTTCTGCTGTTTCATCCCCATCCCCCCCCCCCCCAAAGGCACGGTATCCGTAGCGGTGCGCGGCTTACGAATGCACGTTCGTTGGGCGTCAGAACGAGGCCGACAGTGCATGAGGTTTCCAACTGAGCAGCCCGAGTTCGAATCCTACGTAAAGCGTGTTAATATTTCCCCGGCCCGGTGCGAGGTCACCGGAAGCCACATTAAGGCCACCGCAGCGGCGCGTCGTCACGCGGTCGGACGGTTGTACGGTACCCACCTTGGCGGCGTCCAGATATGGCGCGCGCCTGGCCCCATAACCGGCGATGGGGTAATAGAGTGATGAGTAAAGTCGGAGCACCATAAACCCCGCCAGTTTTAGTGCTCAGCAAAAGCACCTTCAAACAGTCGCCAAATCGACTGCGGCCAGTTGGACACAAACGTCGCCGCCTCACTCCAGACCTGGCCTGGACGTCACACGTGCCACCACTGACGTGCAGGAGCTCTCTGGCATACGGCCCCACTGCTGCCTACTGACTCATAATCAGGGCATAT